GTTGGATAAGTAGTAGCTGTTTCGCCTTCCTTCCTGGAAGCGTTCGCATGACGTGCCCAAACTATCGCAGCTGTGACTTCTCAGTCTGAAGAAACAGTTGTTGTACACCACGGCACTTTCAGATACTTGAACATCAGACCCCGTCGAGCCGCATGAGTCCAGCGATTCGTCTCAGAAAGACCATCTCAGCCACTTGTACCCCGAGTCGTAGCTTTTCAGCGAAGACCCACAGGTGAACATTGGGAGGAAAAATAACTTGAAAACACAGCTTCATCTTTAGACTCAGTTCTACCCTAATCACAAAGATTCAGAGTAGTTCAAAAAACTCCGCTGGCCATCCTGATTCTTCGGCTGATCTCTTTCTCTCATTTCCAAAATGCTTTTACGTCATTTCAGTTAAGCAGATAACAATGCAGATGACAGATACTGTCGTTCTGAGTTCACAGAGGCTGCTTTTCCGCCATTTCGTTTTATGGTTTTTTGAAGATAATGTCCTAACACCTTCCATGGGTATTATGTGCTACTACATAGTGCTCATCCTGTGGAACGCTAAACAGAACGCACCTTTTGCAATAAGAGCGTTTTAAAATACGTTTGGACACTGACGATTTGGCGAATAACGAACAATCTGGGTCGACGAGAACTGGCACTACAATGAACAACCAACTGCTTGTTAATATTATCACTTTTTGCGGTTATCGCATCAAGATGAGAAGTTAACTTGGGCTCGTCTTGAAAGCAGAAAGATTTACCAATGTAAATCGTTGTGATCGCCAGCTTGAATCGTTAGCAATTACAGAACATCTCCGGATTTTGATAATCGCTGAACTTCCAACTGTTCAACACGTTCGTTACAACGCCGTGGCTGTGGTATTGTCGAAGCAACTACTTAACTCTGAACGCAGATATGCTCCATACTGTTATTCAACGTAGTACACTAGCTTCATGGTCGACATCTGCAGTGTTTCAAATTCCATATGAGAAGTACACGAACTAAAATGAAGGACTTATGTTTAGCGTATTTGTCAAACGAAACTGGCTTACATTTACTAAATTGCGGTTACACTGCGAATGCCTTATCCCAGAGAGAATACAAGCCTTATTTGCGTAGTCTCGCCATCTACCGTTTGCTCCTTTGTGTGGAAGCCTATGCTGTTTAACGCCACTCAGTCGCGATTTTTGGTCCATCACGGTATTTATGCCGTATAGCTACATTGCCCTGACAGAGGCAAGGCCTAGCGGAATTTCTCTGAAATGCATTCCTTTGATTTCGAAAACTCATATTGATCCGGTCTTCTTCAATATAAGAGAGTAGGAACGCAACGAGTTAACAGCTTGCTTCGCACTTCACAGGTGTCGGATTCATGTCGTAAACATGTTTCTTTTTAACTACTAATTCCTTTCAGCAAGCAATTCATCGATTGCAATTCGGTGCGACCGGCCAGAAAACAGATAGTAAAAAGTCGCTGACCAGCTAACAGCAGGTACAGCCTAGTGTTCTGATGTGGTCAGGTGAGAGCAAGCGAGACGATCTTGCACGTTTGATACGTGCATCTTACGGCTGCAATTCGCTTTTACTCGCTTGATTGCTGACTACAACTCAGCACAAACTGTAGACGGTACATAAATCAGTGATGGGTATATGACGGCTACATACACAATCAAATGATCAATGCTAAAGCCTCTGTCTTACTGCCAACGTTGGGGCAAAACAATAGTTACCACCCTCAGGGCAAGCAACAGGA